TGGTTAGACCCAGGGCTGCGTGATTTATGGACAAAAAGATTATTGCAATGACAATTCTCATAACTGTCTATTAGGGCTGTGACTAGTGACTATTTCAAGTGTTGATTATTCTGCGGACTACTTTCTAGATGGATTATTTGGTATGAATATACTATAATATTCCAAACTTTACAATTAAAATATAAATAGGATAAGGATAGTATAAACATAAGAGAAGGGTGCAAAGTAGTTTAAGTTTTCTTCGGATTTTGTTAACATTTTACGGGTGGTATGTTTTAACTGGAATGTTTTGGCTGATATCCTTGCTGCCAGATCTCTTTAGTCCTTTACCGTCTGTCACAAACTCCCAAAATCCAAGGTAAGGTCTGAAAAATATCTGTTATTATTCAACTAAAAGTCTAAAACCCTGCCAGTGAATACAGTAATGTTAATAACGTATATTAATCATGCTTTAATCAGAGTCCTGGCCAAATGGAGAGGTTTTCTATGTACGTTTTAAAAGCACTTCTATATACACAACCTCACAAAGTCCACGGTCCTTGAATATCATGTTCAAAACCAAACTTTATTCAGTTATATTCTGAGTCGTGAGAAGTCAATGAAGTCTGCAGTGACACATAAAAACATTTTTCCACTGCTTAGTAACTTGGTTTGAGCTAAAATTGCAGGAAATAGCTGTGTGTTTGTTCTCTGCTGTCAGTGTCGGCGTGTGTTTGTGTGTCTATGAACCGTCCCAGCCCACATACCGCCGTCTGCCTCCTCTCTCTACGTAACAAGGACTGGTTTCACAGCTTTCCTGTCAGACTGTGGCTTCACACCTTCCTCCGACACGTCCCTCCAACGCTTATAGGAATTTACTTTTAACCCCGAGCAGTTTATGCTTAAAAACAGACGTGTTGCCCTGGTTACTTTACTGCTAAAATCACCAGGTTTCTCACAGACGATATGTGGGGAGAATATTTACTTGGCAATAACCAAACTTTGCTATTTGTACAGTTTGTTTTGGATCTTTACATGCTAGTTAAATGTCTTTCATAGCACATGGTAAAGATTTCGGCCAACTAAATGAAATCAAGGGTTTAGGAGAAGTCCTTAAAGTTTCGAGAATGCTTTAACTCATTGGCTTGTACATTCACCATGCACAATGACAACAAAGTAAAATAAGTGCATTAGAAGTGCTAACATGTTATCTGTGAAAGCTGCACCAACACTGAATATCAAACAGCCTTTGCAAGCTAGAGCATGTCTGGAAAACGAATTTAATTAATGACCTTTTCCTGCTCCTATTTAACATCTTTTATGTGAACTACAAGGCCACATGTGTTTTTGTTTTTGATTCCACTCGTGCTACAAATTATATGTTTGCCTTCAGTTGGTTATTCGCCTAATTCAATATTTTTTTATTAGAGTGATATCATCTTTTTGACGGTTATTAAAGCCATCAGATTGTTATCTTTGTGGGATATAAGGTGTCAATTAGATCAAATGAAAGTGAGTTTGACGAAGAGGAACATATTTTGAGTAATCGGGTCAGATTGTAGCTTCCTGTTTTTTTTATATTAACTTTTTCAAAGTGTAAACAGCCTGCAGTGTTGGTACTGCAGCTTCGAATGAGGCTGGACTTTTACTGCAAAAACACTCATCTGACTGATAACAGGCGGGTTTTCATTCAGGCTTTTTGTATTTTGCAGTCATTAAACACTCAAAGCACTGAGTGGTTCTGCAAAAATATTACCCATTGATAAAGTATTTCCCTCTGCAAATGTAATTGATTGTCTTACCAAACGTACCCTGGTTGCATGATGCATTAGAGTACAGTAAAGAAAAGGGTATGAAAGTACAGGACAGAAGAAAGGCAGTTAAGAATGGTAAAACCCAATAGACCAAATAAAAAAACGAAGTAAAATATGCAGTACATTGCAGTAAGAAATGCAGTATAGTGCAGTAAAGAAATGCAGTATAGTGCAGTTAAGAAATGCCGGATTTGTTTTGTAATTGTTCATAAAATTATAAGCATTGCAGTGCCTTCTTTGTTTTTCTGTGCAATTGTGTTTATTTACAAGTTGACATGTGCACAACAATTGTAAAAAATACTGATCAAGCTAGATCACATGTACATGTCTGCAAACAGAGCTGCTCGTTCCTCTTTGTATATCAAGATTTTCTGTTTCAACCAAAACATTTATTTTTTATGCTGTTTCCACTCAGCTGTTATAATTCATGGTTCTAATAAAATATTTGGATGCAGAGCTGTTTCACTTCAGTTCACCCTCGTGTGTGGGAGCTCTGTTTTTCCCTCCGCCTGTCTCTTTTTCTTGGCACCGCCTCTCCATCCATAAACGAGGTTTGGTGTGTGTGTGTGTTGGACAGAGAAGGCAGCAGCTGTTTTCTTTTTTTCTGCAGACCTTGTGACCGCTCTCAGCCCCCGTCTTCGGACATCTATTTTCTCTCGTCTGTTCTATAATAACTCAGTGGCTGAATCTCTAGTGCTGCTTTTTTCCTCCCAGAACACACACACGCACATTTTGAAGCTGCTGGTCATCTTACACACTGTCCTTGATTACATTTTCAATCTTTTATTGTGAAACCTGCGATGGAGTGCTGTTAAGAATAACTCTTGACCTTTAGAGACCAATGTTGTCATTTATTTTCAACCGATTATATTCATAATTCTGCCCAAAAATATGCTGCAGAGTGAGATATCCCTTACTTCTGCAGATGTGCTTGAAATTTACACTGGGACTTTGTGTTTTTAAATGTTTTTGCTCAAACTTCTTGAGTATTTTTCCTTGCAACTAACAATACAGACATTGGTAGTATTATAGTAGTAGTTTCATTTAAAGTAAAGTACTATATCTACTGTATGATAGTCTTAAATGTAAACACTTAAAGTTTACCTATTATGTTATATTGGAAAAATATTTTGTAGGGCCATACCTATACAAAACATGTCTGAAGTTTTTTGCTTAAAATACCAAACAGATCACCCATTGTAGCCATGCCTCATACTGCTCAAACCCCTCTATTGCAGCCCTGTTCCAAACAGGCTGATTCTAGCCACGCCCCTTTGTAGCGTCACGCAGCTTTCCCCTGCTACTGCTAGAGAGAGATTTCTACCGGGAGATCTCAGCTAAACGCTGCGGTGATTAAATGCCATGTTATGCTTCTAACCACTTCAAGCTTTATTTCTGAAACAGTATGGAGCTGAAGCCTTTCTCTCTCGCAGGGTTTACCACAAGGACATTACGTTACACATATTCTCTCCAGTAGCCTACAGCGTTAGCTCCATGGTTAGCTCTGAGTGTTAGCATGCTTGCTAATGTAAACACACAGCATATTACTCCCAAAACACGCCGCGCATTGTTTCTGACATGTTACAGTGCCATTATATGTATTATATATATATATATATATATATAACAACTTTACTCTAAGCCTCCAGCAGACATCCTGCTGAATACACAGACAGCTGCGACTGTATACAGAGACGATAGGTTGGGACGTGTCACGTGTGCCGGAGACAATAGGTTGGGACGTGTCACGTCGGCCGGATGTCACCAATGACATAATAGGAGCGAAAATTCTGGTTCTGCTTGTTGGCACCCCCCCCCCTTTTTTTTAATGTTCGTACGGAGGAAAAGAGAGAGGGTTTTGTTTTCTGACACTTTGTGAGTTCCCCGACACACCGGGGACACATTTATGTATAAAAAACATCAAAAAGTGCATTTTGCATGATGGGTCCCCTTTAAGAAAAACTATACATGCAAATGTGAACACAACAATCCCACACATAGTACATGGCAACAAGCTAAAGGTTACAGACAGAGGACAGTATATTTAAATTCTGAGGTCAGGAGTTTTGTTTTTGTTAGTTTGTGAGCAACCTTCCCCTTCAGTATTTGTACACAGATTCTCTCTGGGTGTGAATATTAACTCTCTCTCCTGACGTCTGCCTTCTTGACTAAATAAAGTCTCCTTTAAGGAGCTCCGGGCTGTCAAATAAAGAGGCTTCTGTGTTGAAGAGGGAGGAGGAGGAGCTCAGACTGTCAGCCTCACTGCTCCACTTATCTCTTTACAAACAGCAGCCAGACACAAACACACTGACATCAGCTCTGATCTAATGACGGAGCAGGGCCAGCAGTCCCGGAGGAGGGTCTGCTGGCTTTGAGGCTGCAAGAAGTCTTTGTGTGTCCCTGAAGGCTTCTAGGAATCAAGCACATGTTTTTATCAGTCCTTCCGGTCATAACGATGCTTCTGTAGCAGGCAGTCAGCTTGTTCCAGGTGAGCCATGCCTGTGCATAAAGGGCAACTCTGAGTCTTAAAAGGAAGTACAAATAGTACAATGCTGGAGTGTTTTGAACACAACATTTCTTAGACATTCTTTAACCTTTTAGATTAGTTTGTCCTCAAGTGTATCTGTTAAAGTAGAACTCTAAACTACTCTTTTAACCTAAAGGAAATTAGTTGTTAGGAACATCTCTACTAGATTATAGGCTATTATGCCAAAATCACAAGGGCAAAGTACTCTTTTGCTAAATGCAGCAGGAGAGTGCATGCAGCCAATCAGTAGACGGCGTCCCTTAAGTCCTGTAACATTGACCTGTGTTACAAATGATCGTTTCCCACTTGAAGAACATGCCTACAGAACATTTGTATTATTACGGCTGGTTGCACCCTGCCACTCCCAGGTGTGAATCCAGCTTAAGTTAATCTGTTAACTAACATATCTTTTGTGGTTAATTATAATAATTAGTATTATAATAATAAAGGGTGTTAGGATAGCACTTAGCAAAAAGAGCAATAAAAAAGTGCTTTAAATGGCAGACATAGAGGTGTGTGTTTGAGGTTTTTATGGTGTAGTTTAGGCACACCTCATATACTTAAGCTACACCCCTTTTGCAGACAAGTATTTTGCATGTTTGTAGTTTTAAAGTTCATTAGTGTTCAACAATCATCTGTTAATATAACAATGTATTAACGTCTTTTTTGTTTGTGAACAGGTCGGTGGTTGTGATGTTGTTCCGGCTTCCTCTGCTTAAAGACTGCATTTCCCATGGAGCAGTGCACCGACACGCACACTGTTGTACCATGGAGCCACCAGTCAGGTACGGAAACACGCACACACATTTAATTTTGTGTATTGTACACTTCTTTTGTGACTTTTCAGTGTCTTTCTTCAGCTTCTTTACACACTCAAACACACACACACAAACATACATCATTTGTTTGTGCTATCAGCGATTACTCGTATTATTTAAAACCTAATTACCCCACCCCCGTCTACTCCTGCTCTTTGAGTAGATTAACCTTTGACCCCCAGTGTTGAAGGTGGAGTCGGCCAATCAGAAGGCTTCCTGGCTTTTAATCACAGGCTATGATTGGGTCATTTCAGCTGTCATCTGGTTTGATTAATAACCACAGAGCAGGAAGAGCTGTGATTACACTGAGCCCCAAGGCTGTGTGTGTATGTGTCATTTTGTGTGTGTGTGTGTGTGTGTGTGTGTGTGTGTGTGTGTGTTAGGTGAAGTAATGCTTTGCCAAGAAAAAGAGTGTGTGTTGATATATGTGTGTAAAAGGTGAGGTCATGTCTTCGTCGGTTTCTGCTGAGCCTCTCCTGGAAATTCTTGAAATATTATTATCTCTGAAAAGTTAGTATGCAGCCAAGTTACATTTCGTTGATTACTTTTTATCAATAGATTTTACACGATTCGTCCACTGATACAATAGTTGATAGTTTGAAATTAAGTACTTTAATACTGATTTATCTGAACAAAATGCTCTAGGAAATCTTTCATTAAGCAGCACAATTTACACAATCCCCTATGCATGTATACGGATTGTGACAAAAAGTTAAATGCAAAAGGGCAGTTATGAACAAATCATTTTTTCTAAATTAAACATACAAAATGTGTTGTTAGTTTTTCGTCTCCCTGCCACGGACACAAAAAAACAATAAAAATACTTCAATAGAATGTTGTGCCAAAAGGTTTTCCACAGGTCAACAGCTGTTTTAATTTTCCATTTTGACTGGCTTGAGACACTTTAAAAGGAAACATGGAAGTTCAGAATCCGAGTTATTGTCAAGTAGGTTTACACATACAACAATTTGTTTATGCATATGAAAACATTTTAAAATAAAATGTTTGAAAGAAATATAACGGACAGTAAATGCAATTAGATTATGACGAGTTTGTGAAAGAACATCACTAGTGCAGATTTTTCTAGAAGTGTGTGAGTGTGTTTTCATGATGAAGTGACTCAAGTTCGTTGACAGACCTTCAAACAGAGCCGGCCAGTCTGCAGCACAAAATCACTCCCATATGTCTTCTCCCCCCCACACACACACACACACACACACACACCCACCCCCTTACACACTGCATACTGGCAGGACTCGACTACTCTCAGTTTTTAAGTATACATGATTTCAGGCAAGAGAACGCACAGAAAATGTGGATTAAAGCTACAAAATAACTTTGCAAAAATGGTTTCTTGCAATTGCACACACACACACACACACACTGGACCACCTATATGTCTCTGTGGCCTGGCTGCAGTTTCCAAGACGGCATGGTGGATGAAACCATCCGACTTCACGGAGTCCGGTCTGAGTCCAGACCACCCACACACACTTTTCAGACACTCACACACACAGTCTGCTCTATATTTTTTTACGTCTTTGAGGAAAGTTGTCTATGCTCCAGTTTCCACTCCTTCATACTGGGATCAGACCAGTGCAGCAGCGAGGCAGAAAATCCACATAAACACTACAGAAGAACAAAAAATGACTGACAGGAGGTGAGGGCGAAGAGGGCGGGGCTTAACAGTAAACTTCCTGTCTCTCTGAAAGAGGTGGCAGTTCTCACAGTCGCTATCAGTGCTAGGACTTCCTGTAGTGTGTGTTGGGTGTATTTTCCATTACCTGGTTCCCACAATTCAGCAACAGTTTAAGAAGGAAGGGAAGAAGAGGGGGTGGCTGGTGTTGATAAGCTGACAGACAACTTCAAGGCAGAAGATGGAAAACACAGGGCTCAGACTATTACTCAGACCACATCCACCCTATTAGGTTTTAAAACTCACAACTTGTGCTACGTTTTACTCCTTGCTTGCAAAGTCTTTAAAGTCGCGACGAGGGTCTTCTGGCGTTTTGGTGTGCTCAAAGTTGGTCCAAAGTTGTCAGAGCTGTGACTTCTCTGTGTGTTTATTTTCCGTTACCTGGTTCCCACAAATACAGCAACAGTATGACTATGGAAAGGGGGAAGGGGAAGAGGAGGGGGCTGGCGTTGATATGCAAAACGTTTCTTCAACTTCAAGAAGGATGATAAACACAGGGCTGAAGCATCGTTACTAATAGGCATACGTTTCGTTATGTTTAACACCCAATGTCGACACTTCTCCAGCGTTCATGAACAACTAAAGCTCAGACTTTTTGAATATGTTGCATTCAGTCTAGACTTTCTAAATCAGATTTTCTGATGATCACATTTGCGTCCTGATGAATAACGAGATACAGGTGTTGCTGAGCTTGTTGTCTCTACTAGGGATGGGGCATGATTTAACAGATTTTCAACAAGTTCATACAACCATATTTTTGTTTTTTTACAAGATGACAACTTTTTTTTGCCGGACCTTGCTGTAGGTCTTATGACCAGATCATAAGTCTTTATTAGTCTTTCAATGGGATTTGTTTTGTGTTACAGCAGCTAAGGTTCAATGCTCAAACAAGAGAAAGTAAAGAAAAGCAGGATGAGCACATTAATATGATGCATAAGTAAACCGTTACGACGCTAAATAAGGTGATGACTGAATAGTTTAATATAGATTATTGCATATATGATTTTGCTAAGAATTCACAGAATATAACGTTTTTGATATGTACCCCACCCTATATACTTTCAGCAGACGTATTTATATTGAATATTTTTTTTGTTTTATTAAAAAAAAAAAAAATTGTTATACATTAAAATAATAATACGTGGCGCTTGCGTCATCGTCACGGAGGAGCACACAGCCTCTGTGAGCGAGAGAGACAGAGAGAGAGCTAGAGAGAGCACACCTTTTATCTATTTAATATAGTTGTAAAAAATAAAGTAAGAAATCATTCCAATGTGTACTATAGGACAGTAAAAAGAAAAACAGTTTAAAAGGGGAGTGATTAGTGAAATATATGCATAAATAAAAAGAAAGAATACTAACTAGATAAGATAAGAATAAACAAGTTTAAATTATTTGTTATTGGTTGTGATCATATTCTAAAGATGTTTGGATTATTGAAAAGTATACAGCTCTCTTTCATATGAGTGTTGAGAGCTGTATCCATAAATTCATTTTGTGCTGAAAGTGCACCAGATTGATGCATTTAACTTCAACATTTAAAAAAGAAAATCCACCTGTAGAGCCTCAAGAGCCTTTCTTGTGCTGGCAGACACATAGAAACATATTGGCGGGGCGCACTTCGCACGCACACACACTAAAAAATTCCACGCGCTCCCATTTTGCTGGGCCCACGTGCCTTAGCACCGCTGCTATGACTCCATCCTAGGGGAAACACTGTACCCAATTCAAGGAACACTGAGTTACCAGCAAGAGCAGGAGCTGACTGGTTTAACTGGGAGCGTCTGCTCGGAGTGATTTATGATCCTAATTTCTTTTTTTATGGTCTTGAGTGTGTTTGTTTTATGGCTCAGTAGTGCCAGTGATGGATAGAAACGGGTCTAATTAAAATCACCTTCAGGGAACCACTTTGTAATATTTTATTACTTAATGACCGTGCGGCTCAAAGTCTGATTATCCGCAAGGGGCCGAGAAACACTGATAACCTTTTATTAATTAGTATTTATTAAGGCTGTACTGAATAGTTAGATGCCTCATGTATAATGATTGCATGTCTATTCATTGTGTTTAATGTTCATATTTTCCTCCGGATAAAGATTAGGCTAAACTAATGGTATTAGAATCTTACTATTCTCACAATTGGATTCTAGTGGTGGCTGCGTAGAATTATTTCCGACTCGTGTTATCTTATTTTTTCCAATATCTCAAAGTCCAAAAATCATCATTTTAAAAAAAGAGAAATCTATAAAAGTTTTTTTGGTTCACCAAATATCATCATATTCCATTTGTAAATGTTAATGGTACATTATCATTTCCAGTATTTGGTAATGTGGTGTTCCACAGAGATCACTGTTAAGACAACTACTACTACCATAATGTATGTGAAAGATATGAAATCTGGAGTTTATTGTGGCTTTTTCAGTGCAAAAGGCAGAAATGTACCATTAATCTATAAATTAGTTTCCTGATGCTTCATAACATATCAAATATATTGCCCATCGCATGTGAGAGAGTAGATAAATGAATGAATAATTAAGCAAAGTATCATCATTACTAAGACAATTCTATTTACGTTCAATTGTCAATTTAGGACTGTATTTTTGTAATTACATCTTTACATTGCATGCATGTACATGCTTCTAAAGTTACCATATCATGAGTTTCTGTCCTGTAATCAATTGTCTTAAAGATAATAGACATACAGATTATACATTAAAATTAAGAAATGCAATTATTCACAAGAAGCAAAGATCATTTGAAGGTCTATTCAAACTCCATAGTTACTTAAACCCCACTAGATGAAGAAAGACAGAGTCAGAGTTGTGGTTCAAGAATCATCTTGTAATGTTGTATTCAAGGCAAGTTTATTTATATAGCCCTTTTCAACACAAGGCAATTCAAAGTGCTTTAAACAAATGAAAGACATTGAGAGCATAAAACACATTAGAAACATTAAAAAGCAAAGATAATAAAACATGAATAACACAGGTACATGAATAAAAGTTACAGTGCAGTGTGAGATGTGAATAGTTCAATTAAAAGTAGCGGCAAAAAGAAAAGTCTTCAGCCTGGATTTAAAAGTAGTAAGAGTTTCAGCGGACCTGCAGGTTTCTGGTAGTTCAATTCAAGAAGAATTCATGGGATTAAATAAAGGATGTTGATGAAGATGCAGGGAGGAAGAGGCCGGGGGTATTCTGGGTATTCTTATGCTAATCCATCGCCGGGGATGAGGCGCAGAGCAGCCAAGCAAACAATGGCCGTGGAGCCAGAA